TCCGAATACTCCTAACATTTTTGTGCTGCCCTGTTTCCCTGTCCATAGCAGATGCGGTGATGCGTTGTTTGGAAGCGATGATGACGAGAGCAAGTTGTGCAGCATGACGGCGTGGTCCATTGCCGCAGGCCACTGGTGGTTGGGTAGCCGCATGTCACGTAACAGTTTGCGCATGCTGTTCTGCAAGGTCCTGTTCATTCTTTCTGCTACACCTTGCTGCTGATGGGCGTAGGGAAGGGAGATGAGCCGCTTGATTCCCCTTTCCGCCAGGTACTGCTTGAATCGCTGAGAGGTGTATTCTCCTCCTCCGTCTGACTGGAAGCTTTTCAGTTTCACGCCCGATTCTCTCTCTGCTACTGGTAGCCAGGCAACGAAGGCTGCGAATGCCATGTCGCGGCTAGGGAGGTTTAGGTGCCAGACGTAACGGGTGGCGGCGTCGATGAAGGTGATTGTATAGTTGTATATTACTTGTCCTGGTTCCTGATTGTACAGGATGTCGCTATACACCTTCTCGAGTGGTGCGTACGCGGGTGCGCTCGGGTTGTGATGAGACGCAAACGGTCGATGTGGTAAGTCACCTTCAGGGCAGGTGAAGCACGTTCCGAGTACTCGTTGAAGTTCTCGTCCGTCGGTCAGTAGGAGTGAGTCCTTGTCGAGTACTCCTGCTCTTATCGTATTGTTTAATACTGTGTTGCTTGGGTGTCCCATCCTTGCGTGCCAGGTGCTTTCGTCGGCGCGATGTCCGGGTGATCGTCGGTACATATCGGAGTTGGAGTAGAAGTTGGCGGTAAAGTTGGCGCTACGATGAACTTCTTGTGGTGCTGGGTGTAGTTGTTGCGCGGGTGTCGGTGGTGTGTCGTCGATGAGGAGCGGTGTCGTTGAAGGACCAGCAATTGGTGTTGACGTTCCTGCTGTTGCCGTTAATGGTTCTGCTACTGCCGATGTTGTCTCTGCTGCTGCCGATGTTGTCTCTGCTGCTGCCGATGTTGTCTCTGCTGCTGCCGATGTTGTCTCTGCTGCTGCCGATGTTGTCTCTGCTGCTGTTGATGTTGTCTGAATTGTTGCTAACGCCCTTGTTCTTTCTGCTTCAGGGATGGTGTGTGAGTACCAGAAGCCTTCTGGACTGAAGTCTGGATCAAGGTCTGGAGGGTGTGTCCAGTTGGTGAAGTTAACGATGGCGTCGCTGTCGGCGGTGCCAAGATCAGGAACGAAATCAAGAACGAAGACGTTGTTCTTGAGGACCGCCTTGCCGATGTAAAGTCCTCCTCTCCCATGATACAGCTTGAATTCTTGGGTGGTGCTGTCTGCTTCGAGGTGAATCCCTTTCGCCATTAGCTGACTGACGCTCAGTAAGTTGTAGCCGAGTCCCTCTGCGATTAGTACTTTTGACATCTGCAGTATAACGTTTGTTTCCCTTGACTGAAGTTGAACTACGCCTTGTCGTCGTGTTCGCAGGTTCTGATTGTTGGCGACTGTAATGACAACTTCGCGTTGAAGTTGGTGTTCTCGTTGAACGAAGCGTCCCGAGGAGCACATGTGCTGTCCGCAGCAACTGTCCAAGAACCATGTGTCTTTTCCGGATGGTTCGCTTTGGGCGATGGCGGCGTATGTCGGGTTCGGCTGAAGTGACTCGCGGCGGGGTGTGGTTTCGTCGAGTTGTTCTTCCGGTGAGTAGTGTGGTGGTGACTCGGTGATGCAGGAGTCACTCAGCTTTGCCATGCAGCTGACGATGTTTCTTGCTCCTTGTGCAGGTTGTCCCGTTGAAGTCGTTGAGGCTTGAATCCGGGTCGTGGGATTTGCTTGCGTTGAGGCGATTTGGCTGCTTGAAGGTCGAAGTTGCTGCTGTGGAGTTGTTGACTGTTGACGATTTGGGCAGTGCGTACGCGGGTGTCCTGAAGTTTTGCAGATGTGGCAGAACGGAGGTACTAGCTTCGGTTGTTGCTGCCGGTTGTTGTTGTTGTTGTAGCGTCGCTGAGTGTGGAACGCGAATTCCGGTGCTGATGTCTCCTTTTTGTGTCGTTCTTCTTGCAGGTCCATGTCTTGCTGCTCGGCGTGGATTTCGGCGCAGAGCGCTGCTTCGGAGATTCTTCCGTGAGCTCGGAGAATGGCCTTTGTGGCACGCCATTGAGGACCGAGGCCGCCGATGATGACTGTCACGAAGGCGTCTTCAGAGATCGACCCTCCGCATCGAAGAAGCTTGTCGCGCAACTCGCGACATCGACTGATATACGCCATTCCTTTCTCCCCTGGTTTCATTTCAACCGTTCTTAGTTGCGGCATTAACCGACTTTGGCTTACGCTGTCTGTTGCTTGATACAGGCTCTTCAGGTGGTTGTACGCGAGCTCCGCGGAGTTGCCGTAACCTCGGTAAGACCTTATGTTCTGCTGTTGAGTCGGGGTGATATTCCTCAGTAGGATCGTGTACGCCATCATTGACTGATAGGTATACTGCTGCTTCTCGTACTGTGTGCCGTTTGTTGGGTATGGCAAAGACCCGTCGAAGAACCCGAGTATCTGCGCGCCTTCCATCATCAGCTCGAACTCGAATGACCAGGTGAAGAAGTCCTTTCCATCGAAAGGTCTTGACGTCTGCATCTTCAGAACGTGTGCGAACTGCGACTGAACTTGTAATGCGTCCAGTGATTTTTCTTGTCCAGGTGAAGGCTGTGGGTGTGGCATAAAGCTGATGGACCCGCGCTCGTACGGAGCAAAGGTAGGCTGCTGTTGTTGATTTCCTCGTGCATATGATGAGCCGTCGAGACTCATGGGTGTTGCTCCGTTGTTGTTGCTGTTGTGTGACTGCGCAGGTGCCGATTGTTGGTGTTGCTCGTAGAAGGACATGAAGGAGAAAAACTTCTCCATCATGCTCTGGTCGAAGTCTGCAGGTTGATTCGCGGGAGTCTCGGTAGATGTTGCTCTGGGTCTTGTTACTGTGCCCTCCTCTGTCTGTAGGCCAGAGGCAGGAGGTGGAGTAGGAGTAGTGCCCTGGGAGTCGTTGGAGTTGCTCCTTTCCTTTTGTGTAGCCATGCTTGTTGATGTTGTCGGTATAGAAGTTGAATTCCCCCTGATAGCTCTCATACCATGTTAGGCTGAAAAAACCCTTTAGGATCTTTGCAGGGGTGAACTCTGGGTAGAGTTGGTGTAGTAGCGGAAGCGTTAATTAAAGAGTTGTGAACCACCTTGCACTAGTATGTGAGGGCAAAGTAAGTTAATGATAATAAAAGAGATACAAGCTTTTATAAGAATACAAAGGAATATGAAGAGATACAGTTAACTGTTTTACTGTTGCTGTTGCGGTTCGATACAGTGTCGACTCGGGCAACTGCTCGGTATCGAGACAGTTGGTTGTCCTTGCTGTCGCGCTGCATTTGTCAGGTCAAAGGTCGCTGACCTTTGACTTTCGCGTAACCTCCAACAGTTATTCAACCTCCGAGGGTTGACTCACCGATATTTCGATACGAGCTACTTCGCTTCTGTCTTGGTGTTTCGACACGACAGAGGCGCCTAAATCAGTTGTTTCCAACACAAAATTCGGTGTTGGAGGCGAAAACTGACCACGGAAATTGGGCGCGATCGCGTAGCAGGAGGGCTGTAAAAACCACTGCCCGTTGGAATTGAAGACGAGAAAGCACGGCGGTTCGTCATTCCCTCCATATTTTCTCTCACGTCACGACCCCACGTAAACTCAACTTGATTCAAATGGCAAGCACGAGATCTACCGGTACAGTTTGGTGTCAGAAAATTATACCGTCATACCCCGGATATAAGCGCCACCCTCGGATAAGCGCCTGGCGCTTTTAATTGGCGCATGGCGCTTATATCCGCTGCTCGATTATAAGCGCACCCCCTGAAAAAACTTGTTTTATTATAAGCGCATGTAAACTTTAAATTTTGAAATGTGTTCAAAATGCTGTAACGATTTTCACTTTAGCAGGCGGATGTGTTGCAGATTCGGTTCCCTTCACATTCGGACCCTGCACTGGATGCGGGTCCAGTCAGCAGGAGCTGTCAGGAGCTGTCAGGAGCTGGATGTGAGTCAGATTGGGTGTATCTCCCAGCGCGCGCGAGAATTTCACAGACGACCCCATGTAACTTCGACTCGATTGGAAAGGCAAGCACGAGATCTACAGTTTGGTGTTAAAAAATAGAAAAAATATATATGTCATTTTATAAACGCCGGCGCTTATAAATTTACTCGATTATAAGCCCACCCCCCTGAAAAAACCTGCTTTATTATTGCCCCCCATGGGGGTATATCCGGGGTATGACGGTACATGTATCTCTGTCATTTTATTAGCGCATGCGCTTATAGATTTTAATCAGTTAGAAGCTCACCCCCTGAAAAAGTGCTATATACTATTATAAGGGTACTTTTTCTCGTCAGGCCAATGTACTCATCTGCTTTTTCTGATAAGGGTCCTACAGCAAGCAGCTCTGAAAAATAAGGAAGCAGTTAACTACTCTGCCCTAGTATGTTGTCACAAGGGTAATTCACCTTTTAAACAGAGGCCTAGAGCAATGTGCATTGCTTCTCCTCACACAGCCTGGCGTCATCCAGCAGAGGCTCTACACTGCGGTGTCAACCTGGCGGCGCGTGTGGAGTCAGCGGGAGCGGCAGAGAGCAATGGTGGTGTCACGCGATGCGGAGCACAGCTGGCCCTCTGGCGTGAACACCACTGCTGTCACCTGCATGCACGCATGGATGAACGGTTGCATGGACGCATGGGTGCACTGATGCATGGATACATGGATACATGGATGCATAGGTGCATTGGTGCATGGGTGCATGGGTGCATGGATAAATGGATACATGGATACAGGTGCATGGGTGCATGGGTGCATGGATGCATGGGTGCATGAATGCATGGATACATAGATGCATGGGTCCATGGGTGCATGGATGCATAGGTGCATGGTCAAATGGACTAATGGATGGACGGATGCATGGGTGCACGGGTGCATGGTTGCAAGGGTCCTTAACGGAGAGTGATAAAGCATACAGCAGCAGAGTGGTGGGTGAGTTGGGCGGCAGGGCGAGGCGTGTGATGGAGGGCACAGTCATAGACGCGCACGCTGCCATCCCAGCCCCCGGTGGCCGCTACTCCACCCGCGGGGTGCAGCGCGATGGCAGCGGTGCCGGGCTGCTGTGACCGCACTCGCTGCACCGCCTCCATGCTGCCCTGCACGGGGTACATGGGGGCACAGGGGCGGAAAACGGGACACAGGGTGGGAGGGGGACACAATAAGGGGCACAGTGGGGGGGCACAGGGGCGCACAGGGGGGCATGGGAGGGCACAGGGGGGCACAGGACGCACAGGGGGACACGGAGGGGCGCATAAAGTGGGAAATGGATAGGCATGGAGGAAAAGGGAAAAGGTGAGCACTGAGCATAATAATGTGATGCCACGTCGGGTAACTGAGCAGTGGCGAACACCTGCTGCAGTGACGTGTGCTGTGAGGGGTGTTGTGAGGGGTGCTGTGAGGGGTGCTGTGAGGGGTGCTGTGAGGGGTGCTGTGAGGGGTGCTGTGAGGGGTGCTGTGAGGGGTGCTGTGAGGATTGCTGTGAGGGGTGCTGTGAGGGGTGCTGTGAGGGGTGCTGTGAGGGGTGCTGTGAGGATTGCTGTGAGGGGTGCTGTGAGGGGTGCTGTGAGGATTGCTGTGAGGGGTGCTGTGAGGGGTGCTGTGTGAAGGAGGCTTGCGAAGTTGCAAAGGGTGTGAGGGTGGAGCAAGGGTGCAAGGAGGGCGGGTCTTACCTGGGAGAGGGAGAGGCGGAAGATAACGGTGTCTCTGTCCGCCCCGCCTGACATGCCATGCTCCGCACTGCTCCACACCGCCATGCTCTGCACTGCTGCCCGCCACACAGGGGTTTGCAGAGCATGGGGGGTGGCAGGCATGGAGGGTGGCAGGCATGGGGGGTGGCATGCATGGGGGGTGGCAGGCATGGGGGGTGGCAGGCATGGGGGGTAGCAGGCATGGGTTGATCAAACAAGCAATGGGACAGAAACAGGCGCTTCGAGTGCCGCCCACCTGGCTGTGAGTGCCGCCCACCTGGCTGTGAGTGCCGCCCACCTGGCTGTGAGTGCAGGCGCACGGCAGTGAGAGGGCGGTCGGGGTGGCGCACGTCCCACAGGGCCACGCGGCCGTCCTCGTAGCTGCCGGGCGCACAGGGGAGACGAGGGGTGGTGGAGGAGGTTGAGGGGGATGAGGAGGGGGAGGGGTGTGAGGGGTGTGAGAAGGGTTTAGGCAGTGAATGGTGGGAGAGGTGAGGGAGGTGAAGGGAGTAAGGGACATGAGGGGGGTAAGTCGGGGTAGAGTGATGGTTGTGGCAGGTGCGGGAATGAAGCAGTGAGCAGCAGGAAGAGCAGAGCAGGCAGCAGGGGCAAGGTGGGTGAGCGCACCCGGCGAGCAGGAAGAGCGCGGGCGAGACGGAGGGGCTGAGGGTGAGGTGCAGCGCCATGGGCAGGCCTGGTGGGGTTGAGGTTATGCGGGGCGCGTGGAGCAGAGAGAGAGGGCAGGCGAGACAGTGTGAGTGGTGAGAGCATGAAACGAGAGATTGCAAACACGAGTGTCATGAGCAGCAAGTGGAGCAGCGAGAGAGTGAGATACGAGGGGAGATACTATCAGCTTGACAGCCTGGGAAGAGGAAGGAGGTGCAGCATGAGAGGAGGTGCAGCATGAGAGGAGGTGCAGCATGAGAGGAGGTGCAGCAAGAGAGGAGGTGCAGCAAGAGAGGAGGTGCAGCAAGAGAGGAGGTGCAGCAAGAGAGGAGGTGCAGCAAGAGAGGAGGTGCAGCAAGAGAGGAGGTGCAGCAAGAGAGGAGGTGCAGCAAGAGAGGAGGTGCAGCAAGAGAGGAGGTGCAGCAAGAGAGGAGGTGCAGCAAGAGAGGAGGTGCAGCAAGAGAGGAGGTGCAGCAAGAGAGGAGGTGCAGCAAGAGAGGAGGTGCAGCAAGAGAGGAGGTGCAGCAAGAGAGGAGGTGCAGCAAGAGAGGAGGTGCAGCAAGAGAGGAGGTGCAGCAAGAGAGGAGGTGCAGCAAGAGAGGAGGTGCAGCAAGAGAGGAGGTGCAGCAAGAGAGGAGGTGCAGCAAGAGAGGAGGTGCAGCAAGAGAGGAGGTGCAGCAAGAGAGGAGGTGCAGCAAGAGAGGAGGTGCAGCAAGAGAGGAGGTGCAGCAAGAGAGGAGGTGCAGCAAGAGAGGAGGTGCAGCAAGAGAGGAGGTGCAGCAAGAGAGGAGGTGCAGCAAGAGAGGAGGTGCAGCAAGAGAGGAGGTGCAGCAAGAGAGGAGGTGCAGCAAGAGAGGAGGTGCAGCAAGAGAGGAGGTGCAGCAAGAGAGGAGGTGCAGCAAGAGAGGAGGTGCAGCAAGAGAGGAGGTGCAGCAAGAGAGGAGGTGCAGCAAGAGAGGAGGTGCAGCAAGAGAGGAGGTGCAGCAAGAGAGGAGGTGCAGCAAGAGAGGAGGTGCAGCAAGAGAGGAGGTGCAGCAAGAGAGGAGGTGCAGCAAGAGAGGAGGTGCAGCAAGAGAGGAGGTGCAGCAAGAGAGGAGGTGCAGCAAGAGAGGAGGTGCAGCAAGAGAGGAGGTGCAGCAAGAGAGGAGGTGCAGCAAGAGAGGAGGTGCAGCAAGAGAGGAGGTGCAGCAAGAGAGGAGGTGCAGCAAGAGAGGAGGTGCAGCAAGAGAGGAGGTGCAGCAAGAGAGGAGGTGCAGCAAGAGAGGAGGTGCAGCAAGAGAGGAGGTGCAGCAAGAGAGGAGGTGCAGCAAGAGAGGAGGTGCAGCAAGAGAGGAGGTGCAGCAAGAGAGGAGGTGCAGCAAGAGAGGAGGTGCAGCAAGAGAGGAGGTGCAGCAAGAGAGGAGGTGCAGCAAGAGAGGAGGTGCAGCAAGAGAGGAGGTGCAGCAAGAGAGGAGGTGCAGCAAGAGAGGAGGTGCAGCAAGAGAGGAGGTGCAGCAAGAGAGGAGGTGCAGCAAGAGAGGAGGTGCAGCAAGAGAGGAGGTGCAGCAAGAGAGGAGGTGCAGCAAGAGAGGAGGTGCAGCAAGAGAGGAGGTGCAGCAAGAGAGGAGGTGCAGCAAGAGAGGAGGTGCAGCAAGAGAGGAGGTGCAGCAAGAGAGGAGGTGCAGCAAGAGAGGAGGTGCAGCAAGAGAGGAGGTGCAGCAAGAGAGGAGGTGCAGCAAGAGAGGAGGTGCAGCAAGAGAGGAGGTGCAGCAAGAGAGGAGGTGCAGCAAGAGAGGAGGTGCAGCAAGAGAGGAGGTGCAGCAAGAGAGGAGGTGCAGCAAGAGAGGAGGTGCAGCAAGAGAGGAGGTGCAGCAAGAGAGGAGGTGCAGCAAGAGAGGAGGTGCAGCAAGAGAGGAGGTGCAGCAAGAGAGGAGGTGCAGCAAGAGAGGAGGTGCAGCAAGAGAGGAGGTGCAGCAAGAGAGGAGGTGCAGCAAGAGAGGAGGTGCAGCAAGAGAGGAGGTGCAGCAAGAGAGGAGGTGCAGCAAGAGAGGAGGTGCAGCAAGAGAGGAGGTGCAGCAAGAGAGGAGGTGCAGCAAGAGAGGAGGTGCAGCAAGAGAGGAGGTGCAGCAAGAGAGGAGGTGCAGCAAGAGAGGAGGTGCAGCAAGAGAGGAGGTGCAGCAAGAGAGGAGGTGCAGCAAGAGAGGAGGTGCAGCAAGAGAGGAGGTGCAGCAAGAGAGGAGGTGCAGCAAGAGAGGAGGTGCAGCAAGAGAGGAGGTGCAGCAAGAGAGGAGGTGCAGCAAGAGAGGAGGTGCAGCAAGAGAGGAGGTGCAGCAAGAGAGGAGGTGCAGCAAGAGAGGAGGTGCAGCAAGAGAGGAGGTGCAGCAAGAGAGGAGGTGCAGCAAGAGAGGAGGTGCAGCAAGAGAGGAGGTGCAGCAAGAGAGGAGGTGCAGCAAGAGAGGAGGTGCAGCAAGAGAGGAGGTGCAGCAAGAGAGGAGGTGCAGCAAGAGAGGAGGTGCAGCAAGAGAGGAGGTGCAGCAAGAGAGGAGGTGCAGCAAGAGAGGAGGTGCAGCAAGAGAGGAGGTGCAGCAAGAGAGGAGGTGCAGCAAGAGAGGAGGTGCAGCAAGAGAGGAGGTGCAGCAAGAGAGGAGGTGCAGCAAGAGAGGAGGTGCAGCAAGAGAGGAGGTGCAGCAAGAGAGGAGGTGCAGCAAGAGAGGAGGTGCAGCAAGAGAGGAGGTGCAGCAAGAGAGGAGGTGCAGCAAGAGAGGAGGTGCAGCAAGAGAGGAGGTGCAGCAAGAGAGGAGGTGCAGCAAGAGAGGAGGTGCAGCAAGAGAGGAGGTGCAGCAAGAGAGGAGGTGCAGCAAGAGAGGAGGTGCAGCAAGAGAGGAGGTGCAGCAAGAGAGGAGGTGCAGCAAGAGAGGAGGTGCAGCAAGAGAGGAGGTGCAGCAAGAGAGGAGGTGCAGCAAGAGAGGAGGTGCAGCAAGAGAGGAGGTGCAGCAAGAGAGGAGGTGCAGCAAGAGAGGAGGTGCAGCAAGAGAGGAGGTGCAGCAAGAGAGGAGGTGCAGCAAGAGAGGAGGTGCAGCAAGAGAGGAGGTGCAGCAAGAGAGGAGGTGCAGCAAGAGAGGAGGTGCAGCAAGAGAGGAGGTGCAGCAAGAGAGGAGGTGCAGCAAGAGAGGAGGTGCAGCAAGAGAGGAGGTGCAGCAAGAGAGGAGGTGCAGCAAGAGAGGAGGTGCAGCAAGAGAGGAGTGCAGCAAGAGAGGAGGTGCAGCAAGAGAGGAGGTGCAGCAAGAGAGGAGGTGCAGCAAGAGAGGAGGTGCAGCAAGAGAGGAGGTGCAGCAAGAGAGGAGGTGCAGCAAGAGAGGAGGTGCAGCAAGAGAGGAGGTGCAGCAAGAGAGGAGGTTGCAGCAAGAGAGGAGGTGCAGCAAGAGAGGAGGCAGCAAGAGGATGGTGCAGCAAGAGAGGAGGTGCAGCAAGAGAGGAGGTGCAGCAAGAGAGGAGGTGCAGCAAGAGAGGAGGTGCAGCAAGAGAGGAGGTGCAGCAAGAGAGGAGGTGCAGCAAGAGAGGAGGTGCAGCAAGAGAGGAGGTGCAGCAAGAGAGGAGGTGCAGCAAGAGTGCAGCAAGAGAGGAGGTGCAGCAAGAGAGGAGGTGCAGCAAGAGAGGAGGTGCAGCAAGAGAGGAGGTGCAGCAAGAGAGGAGGTGCAGCAAGAGAGGAGGTGCAGCAAGAGAGGAGGTGCAGCAAGAGAGGAGGTGCAGCAAGAGAGGAGGTGCAGCAAGAGAGGAGGTGCAGCAAGAGAGGAGGTGCAGCAAGAGAGGAGGTGCAGCAAGAGAGGAGGTGCAGCAAGAGAGGAGGTGCAGCAAGAGAGGAGGTGCAGCAAGAGAGGAGGTGCAGCAAGAGAGGAGGTGCAGCAAGAGAGGAGGTGCAGCAAGAGAGGAGGTGCAGCAAGAGAGGAGGTGCAGCAAGAGAGGAGGTGCAGCAAGAGAGGAGGTGCAGCAAGAGAGGAGGTGCAGCAAGAGAGGAGGTGCAGCAAGAGAGGAGGTGCAGCAAGAGAGGAGGTGCAGCAAGAGAGGAGGTGCAGCAAGAGAGGAGGTGCAGCAAGAGAGGAGGTGCAGCAAGAGAGGAGGTGCAGCAAGAGAGGAGGTGCAGCAAGAGAGGAGGTGCAGCAAGAGAGGAGGTGCAGCAAGAGAGGAGGTGCAGCAAGAGAGGAGGTGCAGCAAGAGAGGAGGTGCAGCAAGAGAGGAGGTGCAGCAAAGAGAGGAGGTGCAGCAAGAGAGGAGGTGCAGCAAGAGAGGAGGTGCAGCAAGAGAGGAGGTGCAGCAAGAGAGGAGGTTGCAGCAAGAGAGGAGGTGCAGCAAGAGAGGAGGGCAGCAAGAGAGGAGGTGCAGCAAGAGAGGAGGTGCAGCAAGAGAGGAGGTGCAGCAAGAGAGGAGGTGCAGCAAGAGAGGAGGTGCAGCAAGAGAGGAGGTGCAGCAAGAGAGGAGGTGCAGCAAGAGAGGAGGTGCAGCAAGAGAGGAGGTGCAGCAAGAGAGGAGGTGCAGCAAGAGAGGAGGTGCAGCAAGAGAGGAGGTGCAGCAAGAGAGGAGGTGCAGCAAGAGAGGAGGTGCAGCAAGAGAGGAGGTGCAGCAAGAGAGGAGGTGCAGCAAGAGAGGAGGTGCAGCAAGAGAGGAGGTGCAGCAAGAGAGGAGGTGCAGCAAGAGAGGAGGTGCAGCAAGAGAGGAGGTGCAGCAAGAGAGGAGGTGCAGCAAGAGAGGAGGTGCAGCAAGAGAGGAGGTGCAGCAAGAGAGGAGGTGCAGCAAGAGAGGAGGTGCAGCAAGAGAGGAGGTGCAGCAAGAGAGGAGGTGCAGCAAGAGAGGAGGTGCAGCAAGAGAGGAGGTGCAGCAAGAGAGGAGGTGCAGCAAGAGAGGAGGTGCAGCAAGAGAGGAGGTGCAGCAAGAGAGGAGGTGCAGCAAGAGAGGAGGTGCAGCAAGAGAGGAGGTGCAGCAAGAGAGGAGGTGCAGCAAGAGAGGAGGTGCAGCAAGAGAGGAGGTGCAGCAAGAGAGGAGGTGCAGCAAGAGAGGAGGTGCAGCAAGAGAGGAGGTGCAGCAAGAGAGGAGGTGCAGCAAGAGAGGAGGTGCAGCAAGAGAGGAGGTGCAGCAAGAGAGGAGGTGCAGCAAGAGAGGAGGTGCAGCAAGAGAGGAGGTGCAGCAAGAGAGGAGGTGCAGCAAGAGAGGAGGTGCAGCAAGAGAGGAGGTGCAGCAAGAGAGGAGGTGCAGCAAGAGAGGAGGTGCAGCAAGAGAGGAGGTGCAGCAAGAGAGGAGGTGCAGCAAGAGAGGAGGTGCAGCAAGAGAGGAGGTGCAGCAAGAGAGGAGGTGCAGCAAGAGAGGAGGTGCAGCAAGAGAGGAGGTGCAGCAAGAGAGGAGGTGCAGCAAGAGAGGAGGTGCAGCAAGAGAGGAGGTGCAGCAAGAGAGGAGGTGCAGCAAGAGAGGAGGTGCAGCAAGAGAGGAGGTGCAGCAAGAGAGGAGGTGCAGCAAGAGAGGAGGTGCAGCAAGAGAGGAGGTGCAGCAAGAGAGGAGGTGCAGCAAGAGAGGAGGTGCAGCAAGAGAGGAGGTGCAGCAAGAGAGGAGGTGCAGCAAGAGAGGAGGTGCAGCAAGAGAGGAGGTGCAGCAAGAGAGGAGGTGCAGCAAGAGAGGAGGTGCAGCAAGAGAGGAGGTGCAGCAAGAGAGGAGGTGCAGCAAGAGAGGAGGTGCAGCAAGAGAGGAGGTGCAGCAAGAGAGGAGGTGCAGCAAGAGAGGAGGTGCAGCAAGAGAGGAGGTGCAGCAAGAGAGGAGGTGCAGCAAGAGAGGAGGTGCAGCAAGAGAGGAGGTGCAGCAAGAGAGGAGGTGCAGCAAGAGAGGAGGTGCAGCAAGAGAGGAGGTGCAGCAAGAGAGGAGGTGCAGCAAGAGAGGAGGTGCAGCAAGAGAGGAGGTGCAGCAAGAGAGGAGGTGCAGCAAGAGAGGAGGTGCAGCAAGAGAGGAGGTGCAGCAAGAGAGGAGGTGCAGCAAGAGAGGAGGTGCAGCAAGAGAGGAGGTGCAGCAAGAGAGGAGGTGCAGCAAGAGAGGAGGTGCAGCAAGAGAGGAGGTGCAGCAAGAGAGGAGGTGCAGCAAGAGAGGAGGTGCAGCAAGAGAGGAGGTGCAGCAAGAGAGGAGGTGCAGCAAGAGAGGAGGTGCAGCAAGAGAGGAGGTGCAGCAAGAGAGGAGGTGCAGCAAGAGAGGAGGTGCAGCAAGAGAGGAGGTGCAGCAAGAGAGGAGGTGCAGCAAGAGAGGAGGTGCAGCAAGAGAGGAGGTGCAGCAAGAGAGGAGGTGCAGCAAGAGAGGAGGTGCAGCAAGAGAGGAGGTGCAGCAAGGAAGGAGCGCACCGGCAGAAGCAGCGGAGTGGGGGTGGGGGGCGGCGTGGGCGAAGCCTTGAGGCGAGCCGATGGTGAGCGAGCGGCGCGTGGGATGGCGCAGGTCCCACAGTGCCACCTGGGTGGCATGGCGGGGGGCATGGGCAGGGAGGGGAGCATGTGGGGCAGGGATGCAAGCATGTGGGGAAGCGACAGGGGCATTTGGAAAAGGGAGGAAGGGTTTTTGGGGAAGGGAAAAGGGGCAATTGGGGAGAGGAGGAGGGGCATTTGGAAAAGAGAAGAGGCCGGGTGGGGTAGGGAAAGGGGCGTGTGGGCAGAAAAGGGGGCGTGTGGGCAGAAAAGGGGGCGTGTTAGCAGAAAAGGGGGCGTGTGGGCAGGGGAGCATGGGGTGGGGGGGGGGGGGGGGGGGGGGTGAGGGCAGTGGATCGGGACATGAAGGGTGAGTGGGGTGGAATGTGCACTGCGTACAGTGCAGTTGTCGTCACAGGGAGTTGCCAACACAGCAGGCACTTCCGCACCATTTGCTGCTGCCCCTACCTCCTCCCCTCCTCGCTCGTCCTCGCCTCTGCCCCCCTCTTCCAGCGCCTCCCCTTCTGCCCTGCCGCCATCGCCCCTGCCGCCATCGCCCCTGCCACCCTCCACCGCTCCAAGCGCACCACTCAACAGCCCCCTGCGTGGCACCCCCCGCCCTCGCCCCTCGCCACCCCTCCCATCTCCTTCCCCCGCCTGCTGTGCCCCACCAGCACCTGCCTCTGCTGCACTGGCCTCACTGGGCTCATGGGCCTCACTGGCCTCACTGGGCGCGGCGGCAGCAGTGCACGGGGCTGAGACCGGCGCACCAACAGAGGGTGGCGGTGGTGGTGGGAGGGAGGTGGCAGGGGAGGCGAGGGAGGGAAGAGCCATGCGGCAGAAGGTGAAGGCGCCCGTGTGGATGGCCAAGAGCGGTGAGGGGGGCGCTCCACTGCTGCTGCTGCTGCTGCTGCTCGCAGAGGTGACACTCTCCACCGCCCAGCACCGGACCACACCGTCCCGGCCCTGCCTGCCTGGTCTCAGAGGAAAGCGTGCAGTGAAGGGAGAGAGAGGGAAAGCGAGGAGAGGAGCTGTGAGGGCGACGAGGAGGGCTGTGCTGTGGGAGAGAGGGGAGTTTAGGAAAGTAAGATGTTGTGTGTTGGTTCAGGAGGAGCAACGAGGGAGGCATGCACACACATCATATGCATCACATGGTAAGGCATGGCACGCCACGGCAAGGCAGGGCAGGGCAGGGCGGGGGGAGGGGGCGTACGTGAGCAGGGAGTGAGCGAGCGAGGGAGCAGAAGAGGCGGGCGGCACGGCGTCCATGGCGATGATGCCCGCATGCCCCCCGTGTAGCCTGCCGTGAGGGCACGGGGCGGGGGGAGGGAGAGGCGCAGCCGCGGGTGGGGGGACAAGGGGTGATCAAGGTTAGAGTGAAGACAGAATGGAGAGGGACGGGAATATGGAGAGGAGAGAGGAAGAAATGATGGGAGGAAGTGGTGGGTAGGGAGGGAGGCATGTGGGGGCGAGTGCGGCCGAAGGTCCCATTCCCTCTCCTCCCCTCCCCTGCCGCCAGCACGCCCCCCCCCCCCTCCTCCTCACACACTCCACGCCCCCCCCCCCCCCCCCTTCCCCCCTCTCTCCAGCACGCCCCACACACAACGCACCGTCGTGGCCTCACCCCCCCCCACCTGTGGCGTGCCACGGGTCGGTGTGTGGCGAGGCTCCACGCCTTCACCTCGCCCTCCATGTCGCTGCCGCCCGTCCGTTGCACCGCGCATGGCCGGGGGAAGTGTGGAAAGGGGGGAGTGAAAAGGGAGCGGAGGGGAGTGAAGGGTATGATGAGCGGGGGAGTGGGGGTGGAATCGGAGTGAGAGGTGAGGTCAGGAGGACGGCGATAACGAGGGGGCAGGTCGAACGGGATGGCGAGGGATGGGAGAAGGGAGTTGGGCACGGAAAAAGAGAGGCGAGTGGGGTTGAGTGGGGGGCGAGTGGGAGGCGAGTGGGGGGCGAGTGGAGGGCGGGTGGGGGGCGAGTTGGGGGCGAGTGGGGGGCGAGGCGCACCCGGAGAGGAGGAGGCCGGACGCGGCGTGGTGGCAGAGCGCCGTCACCTCCGCGCGATGGCCGCGCAGATGCGCCTCCGCCGCCCACCGCCGCTTCCACGATGGCTTGGCGGGCGACGCCATTGGAGCGGATGGGCTCGGCGACCGCGCGAGGCTGCGCGCTGGATGCCGCCCGGACGATGGCGGTTTGCGCAATCGGTCCGATCGATCACGATCGACGCTACACTTGCCTGCGCCGAGGGCGAGGTGTGATATCAGGGCCTACGCGCGATAATAAAGACGCGCTTCAAGGTACAACCTGCTGTGCTTTCGGATCTAAGGGGCGACAGCCAAGAGAAAGGTGGACAAGACAATCAGAAAGGTGGCGTGGAACGAATTTTGCAAGGAGTCTCGAACGAAATAAATGTTTGTGTTACAATTTGTCGTTTAGGACATGATTGGGGCGATCCGATGCTGATTGTGATTGATCGGGTCGGAGGGAATCTGCCATATTTCCCGCTCGGCGCGATCTGGCTGGACAATTTCTTAGAAGATTGTACGCAACAACGTAGATGTTTCCACGCTGGAACCTGCGCATTTCCATGTCTTGGTGCGCGAACAAACTGTAGCAGCGAGCTAAAGCGGATTCTTAGGGCGCATTCCTGAGCTCGTGTCATCCGGTGTTGGTGTCACCCGAAAACTTTGGAACGCACGTGATTGGCCCGTTGTGATTTTTGGGCCAATCACGTGCGTTCCAAAGTTTTCGGATGACACCAACACCGGATGACACGAGCTCAGGAATGCGTCCTTATAGGCTAATTACTCATCATGAGTGTCACTAAGTGGCCCAATCTCTCACACAATTCAATTGCGTCGATTGGATTCAACTGCGTCGGGTCAAGGCGATCGATTCTCTCATATTGAGGCGTCGATCACGATTGAGAGACTGCAGCCGATTGCCTCAAAATGCATACGTCGATTATAGGAAACTACGGATCGGAGTAGATCGAGACAATCAGCCTCGGATCGCCCCGATCAACTGTCAGAATGTTATATTGCTTATTTTGTGTAGGCTATAGTGGGGTAGCCCATAAGGGGTACAACCCAATCAGGGTTAGTACTTGTACCCAACTCTTTCATAGTTCATCAATTCTCATTCATTCTTTTGATATAGTTTCAGAGCAGGTCCTTCGCTAGGACCCATTTTTTTTAGGGCCCACCATAGAGTTGCCCCACTAGCTGCCCTGCCCTACCAGCGCGCCGCCCTGCTGGCTCACGCGCCGCCTGTGAGAAATGTACGAGGAATGATGTGGACTAGAAAGGGGATGAGTACAAGTATGTGTCAAACTTATATCTGCTATGGTCTATTTAGGCTGTAGTGGGGTAGCTCTTAGTGGGTACAACACTTATGTGTTTCCTATATGTACCCATCTCATTTCTAGTTCATTCATTCTTTCGTCTATCATTCTCACATGGTATAGAGCTAGTTTCGAGATTTTTTTTTAAAAAGGGCCCACCACTGAAATTTCTCCCCTGCCTACTTGCCGCGCGCTTCGCGCCTTCCCTTCGAGGCCCGTCACGGCCCCTGCGCCCGCCCTTAGAGCCTGCGCCCGCCCCGTAAGGCCCCTTAAGGCCTCGTTAGGCCCCGTAAGGCCCCTTTAGGCCCCGTTTAGGGCGCGGTTTAAGGCCACGTAATTCCCCGTTATGCCCCGTAAGGCCCCGTAAGACCCCGTCAGGCCCCGTTCGGCCCCGTCAGGCCCCGTTCGGCCCCGTTTAAGGCCCCGTTAGAGGCCCCGTACGGCCCCGTCAGGCCCCGTTAGAGGCCCCGTACGGCCCTGTCAGGCCCCATTTGGCCCCGTTTAAGGCCCCGTAAGGCCCGTCAGGCCCCGTTAGAGGCCCCGTCAGGCTCCTTCAGGCCCAGTTAGAGGCCCCGTAAGGCCCCGTTAGAGGCCCCGTAAGGCCCGTCAGGCCCCGTTATAGGCCCCGTCAGGCCCCGTTATGGGCCCCGCACGGCCCCGTTATCGGCCCCGTACGGCCCCGTTATAGGCCCCGTCAGGCCCCGTTATAGGCCCCGTTCGGCCCCGTCAGGCCCCATTTGGCCCCGTTTCAGGCCCCGTAAGGCCCGTCAGGCCCCGTTATAGGCCCCGTACGGCCCCGTACGGCCCCGTTACAGGCCCCGTCAGGCCCCGTTATAGGCCCCGCACGACCTCGTTATAGGCCCCGTACGGCCCCGTTATAGGCCCCGTCAGGCCCCGTTATAGGCCCCGTACGGCCCCGTTATAGGCCTCGTCAGGCCCCGTTATAGGCCCCGTTCGGCCCAGTCAGGCCCCGTTAGAGGCCCCTTCAGGCCCAGCCGGCCCTGCTGCGGCCCTGTCGCAGCTCTTCCCCGACACTGCCCCGGCCCTGCTCCTGAACTGCCCCGGCCCTGCTTCTGCACTGCCCCGGCCCTGCTCCTGACCTGCCCTTGAACTGCCCCGGCCCTGGCCCGGCTCTGCCCAGGCCCTGCCCCGGCCCTGCCCCGGCTCTGCCCCGTCCCTGCCCCTGAACTACCCCGGCCCTGCTTCTGCACTGCCCCGGCCCTGCTCCTGAACTGCCCCGGCTCTGCCCCGGCCCTGCCCCGGCCCTGCCCCTGAACTGCCCCGGCCCTGGCCCGGCTCTGCCCTGGCCCTGCCCCGGCCCTGCTCCTGAACTGCCCCGGCCCTGCCCCGGCCCTGCTCCTGAACTGCCCCGGCCCTGCCCCGGCCCTGCTCCTGAACTGCCCCGGCCCTGCCCCGGCCCTGCTCCTGAACTGCCCCGGCCCTGCCCCGGCCCTACTCCTGAACTGCCCCGGCCCTGCCCCGGCCCTGCTCCTGAACTGCCCCGGCCCTACCCCGGCCCTGCCCCAGCCTCTCCCCTGGTAAGAGCGCCGCGCTGCCGAGCCACACCGCCCTGCCGAGCTGCGCCGCCCTACCTAGCCTGCTTAGCCGAGTTCCACTGCTGCTCCTGCTAGCCTGCTGCTTCTCCTGTCATGGCTAGTCTCAATGTTCTTACCTTTGATGCTGAGGGTCGGGCTGTTGACTTTGAGGTCTGGCTAGATGATCTGCAACTTTTCCTACAGTGCGATAGCAAGGATGGTCTCTCACTGTTCGATCTCACTTCTGGCGCCTCTACTGCCCCTACTGCTGATGCTGACAGTACTGTTCGCTCGCAGTGGCTCACGCGCGATGCTGCTGCTCGTCTTGCTGTGCGCAACCACCTGCCGTCTACTGAGCGCGCGCACTTTAGTCAGTACAAGAGTGCTAGGGCTCTGTACGACGCTGTAGTTGCACGCTACTCCTCCCCTACCACTGCTGCCCTCAGCTGCCTCATGCTGCCGTACCTTTTTCCTGACCTTGCCGCCTTTTCCACAGTTGCTGACCTAGTTGCTCACCTCCGCACTAGTGACGCTCGCTACCGCGCTGCCCTTCCCACTGCGTTTCTTCCCACGAGCTTCCCCCCCATGTACATCACCCTTTACTACCTAGTCACCCGCCTCCCTGACTCTCTCTCCTCAGTCAGGGATCACTTTCTCTCCCTTTGCCCTACCGAGCTGACTGTCGACTTGCTAGAGGAGCGCCTAGCTGCAGCTGAGAAGAGTATCTTAGCTGTTGGGGCTTCTCGCGGCGACCGTCGCACCCCCTTCTTTGAGGGGTGTTCCCCTGTCCCCCTTCTCCCCTCTGTTGCCTCTGCTGCTACTGTCGACCTCGTTGGCACTGAGGAGGTCGGCGCTGCGTCTGCCCCTAGTGGGCGACGCCGCACTGGCAAGGGCAAGGGAAGCAAGGGTGGTGGAGGGGGCGGTGGAGGAAGCGGTGGAGGAGGTGGAGGTAGTGGTGGGGGTGGTCCCGGGGGTGGGAGCGTCGGTGGCGGCGGTGGAGGCCGTGGAGGTGGTGGCGGAGGCGGTGGAGGCGGCGGCAGCGGTGCTGGAGGTAGCGGAGGAGGTGGTGCTAGTCGCGGTGCCGCCACGCAGCGTGGAGGCCTTGGTGGCGGCCAGCGTCAGCAGCAGCTGCGCACCCGTGAGACCCCGTCTGTTCAGCAGCTTCGTGAGTGGTACGCTGGGCGTGGGAGGTCTGGGGGTGCAGGTCCCTGTGCGTACGTTCTTCACACAGGCACTCGTAGCGGGGAGGTGTGTGGTCTCCCACACACCACGCAGCGCTGCTTCGGCCGCCTGACTGACGCTTGGCGTACCCAGTTTCCTGACGCTGTTGAGCTTCCTCGTTGGCATGATCTGCTTCTGCAGAATGTGCCTATCTTTGATCTAGATTTTGATGCTATCCTTGCTGCCATGTATGCTCTTGCTGATATTACTGAGGGTGACTGTTACCTGCGTGTCCCGCCCGACCCGGGCACTGTGGCTGCTGCTCTAGGTGCTAGTGCGGCTGCTGCTCTAGGTGCTAGTGCGTCTGATGCTCCAGGTGCTGGTATGCCTCCTCCCTCTGGTACTGCACCTACTGAGTCCTTTCACACCTTCACACTTGACTCTGGTGCTTCGCGCTCTTTCTTTAGAGACAGCACCACGCTCACGCCGCTCCGTCGGCCTGTTGCGGTCTCCCTTGCTGACCCCTCCGGGGGACCAGTCCTTGCACACTCCTCCACGGTTCTACCGTGTCCTGCGGCCCCGTCGGGCTTGCTGTCGGGACTCCACCTCCCCTCGTTCTCTACGAACTTGGTGAGTGGAGCTGACCTCCAGGACGCGTGGGTTGACCAGTTCACCCCTGGAGGTCAGCGTGTGACCCACTGCACTTGCTCTCGGACGGGCCGCCACCTGGCCACGTTCACCCGTCTGCCAGGGTCGAGTCTGTACACACTGACTACTGCGCCTCCTCCGGTCCCTGTCGTCCTCTGGCGCACGAGACTCTCCTCTGGCACCACCGCCTTGGTCACCCCTCCCTGCCTCGTCTTCGAGGTATGGCCTCCCGTGCTCTTGTCTCTGGACTCCCCAGGTCCCTCCCTCCCCTTCCTCCGGGGCCTGCCCCCACCTGTGTTCCTTGTGTCGAGGGCCGGCAGCGCGCCGCTCCTCACTCCTCCTCGTTTCCTCCGACTGAGGCCCCTCTACAGACTCTTCACATGGACGTGTGGGGCCTAGCCCGCGTTCGTGGACAGGGTCACGAGCGTTACTTCCTGCTGGTCGTTGACGACTACTCGCGTTACACCACAGTCTTCCCCTTGCGCAGCAAGGGTGAGGTCACTGAGGTGTTGATCGACTGGATCCGCGGTGCTCGTCGCCAGCTTAGTGAGAGTTTCGGCTCCGACCTTCC